CCGTAATATTTCGTTATTGGAATTAGGGTTACGAAAAATTTCGGTTTTTTTTTAAAGGTGGTGGTAAATTCCGAACGTTTTGAAACCGTAATTCCGGAAATTTTGCGGAAACGCGGAAAAATTAGGGTTGGGGCCGAAATTTTCGCGGAAATATTTTTTGTTCATCTTCTTGGAGAAATTCCGAAAGACGGATTTAGCGTTTAAAAATCGGATTTTGACGGTGGGAATTCCCGGAATTTCACGTTTTGAAATTTCGAGTGTTTTTTTCTCTACCGAAATTTCCGAAATTTGTTCTGCAAACTAATCTGTATATGACCCTTCAATTGCAACTACCGGGCAGTTCACTTAGTAAACGGAGAACTCCCGGTCTCATAGTAATCTCGAAAGAGACATAGTCATATTACCATTCAAAGTCGTTTTATGATTTCATTGATTAATTATCTCGTATTTTTTCATTAATTAAATTTATTGATTAAATCGTTAATTATGTGATTACAAATTTTCTGAATTGGTTCCGGGAATTTATTTTCGGGTTTTGATTAGGGGTCTATAGTCCAACAAGTGGGACAGGGGATTGTAGGTGTATTGCTTGATTGTTCTACCCCTGTTCCCACTCTCCCTACCCCCCGTGTTCTGTGATTTACCGGGACTTCTCAAGTACCGCATCGGTTCAGACTGATGTCGACAGGACAGGACACCGGGGCACTGCCACGACGCAGTGCCAGAATCGCAGTTCGTGCCCGCCCTGCAGTACCTCCAAGACCGAAGAAACTCAGCAGGCGGACGACTCCAGCAGCATCAAGTATGACATTGACGGTACAAGACGCCACCGGAGATCATCCCGCATACCCAGTCCGAGGAGCCAATGAGCCAGCGGCTGATTATCGTGGGCGGCTACTGGCATTTACGGAAGCCGTAGCTGCCGTCGAGGCCCGGAAGGAGACAGCAGAGGCAGAACGTCAGCGGCTAGCCAATGAAGCGGCAGCCGAAGCTCAGCGAACGACTGAGACTGACGCAGAGACACGAGACAGACGGAATGCCAGCAGCACAGAGTCCTTGATTGCTTGTGAGCATCAGTGGACGACGATACTCCAAGGCATGATCTTTGAGCCTACGGAAGCGCAGGCAGACCCGACACCGGCGGAGGCAGAGAGAAGTAACCTGGCTAACTTGCTGCTGGGCATGATGAGAGGTATTATGTGGAATAATACACTGCTGCATTCACATCTGCGCACGGACGCGACGCAGCGACAAACATACAAGAACGATATGACTGCGTTAACAACTGCTATCCACACAGAGGCAACGCAGCAGCAGCAACAGCATCATTTGTTGAATTCCACTATCACACGCGTCAACAGCATAGAGGCTAACGCCTCAGCAGCGCCAGGCTGCACGACAGACGTGACGAAGCAACTCAACTAGCGCATCGATCACGTCGTCACCATCATCGGCGACATAAGTACTTTCAACGGACCAGACTCGATCAGCAGCACGGTGGCTGCCATCAAGACGGACATCACCAAGCTACAGACGAGACCGGACGCCGCTACAAAGACGTTCAAGATGCCGCACTTCGACATCAGCAAGTTCGACGATTACAACAAGTCGGACGCCTTGTCATGGTGGCAACGCTTCCTCACGGAAGCATCATGCCGCATGGTCCCGGTGGACGACATGTTGAAGGCAGTATATCTGCAGCTGATTGGAGGAGCGCAGGGATGGATGAACCACCTAGCGGCTACACACAAGTGCACTATCGCCGAACTCCACACRCACATTACGTGGAAGGAGTTCGAGCAGCTATGGTTCACCAGATTCATGGTTCGCAACGTCGTGAAGATGGCCATAAACGAGGTCTACACATGCTCTCAAGGGAACATGCCAACGCGAGACTGGGCATCAAAATGGCAGAAGATAGTGACCACGCCAGGCTTCGACTTGACGTTCCCTAATCAACGATCCGAGTTCTTCTCGAGATCGTGCGCAGGATTGCGGTCGGCACTCGGCAACGAGTACGACTATACTACGTTCCAGGCCATTCTGGATAGAACGAACTTAGTCATCCAAACGGACGACAAGGCCGCTAACGAGAGGTAATCCCAGCCGCATTATGTGGCTAAACAGGCCTATCAACGTCTGACACATAACAATGTCGTGTTTTCTGAGGAAATCGACGACCACCACGCTGCGGCAGCATCCTCGAGTGATGGAGGAATTGTCGCAGCCCTCCCACCGAAGCATCCGAAGAGAGTTCGCAAGAACAAGGCGACACAAGGGACAGCGGCGACGGGAGCTGGGCAGCAGCCATGGACGGCTTATAAGATCACCAAGGAGGTCTATGACCTACGTCAGAAGTACGCATACTGCCTATGGTGCAACAGCGTAGTACACACTACCGCACAATGCCTAGACAAGGGCAAGGCACGCGTACCCCGTCCAACCAACTCGGGAAACTGAGTTACGCAAGGAGAGGGGCGACGTCTCTCCTCACTCCGCCGGACCCGGTTGCCTTGCTAGCAATCGATGTCACTACCGGGGAGCATGCGTTAGTCGCTGATCCTCGCGCTACGTACGCGGATTATGCCGCCCAGCTGGTACCACCATTAGACCAGCCAAGCCACGTGCACTTAGCTAGCGTATGCGCAACCTGTACACCATCGGCAAGTGATCCGGTCAGTTCGCCACTGATTTCCGAGGACTCGACGGCGTGGTCAAGACTTGAGGAGCTTGACCCGCTCACGAGAGAGGACTTCGCCTGGATGCCTCTACCCTCGACCRRAACCTTGCCAAGGCCGCATTGCAACGCCTTGATGGCAACTCTACGCTCCTATTTGCACACTACAGTACCAGCTCCGTTGACGGACGACGGGGTAGAGGTTGTCGATCTCCGCTCCTATCTTGCAAAGATTGACCGCGAGTACGCCACCCAAAGGTACGCCGAAACCGATGCACCTTTGCTCTATATCTGCATTCAAATCGGAAAGGCAACCTGTAGTGCCTTGATTGATTGCGGAGCGTCTCGCAACTTTATGAGCCAAGCCTTTATGGCCCGCGCAGGTCTTGGCCGGCGCGTTCGAAGGAAGACGCAACCTACGCAAGTTACACTCGCGGACGGCCGCACGCAAAAGTCAATTGACCGATGCGTTGACGACGTTCCGGTCTATTTTGCTGCACTTGCGTGCGAGCCAGTGTCTTTTGACATCCTCGACACCAAGTTCGACATGATTCTAGGCATGTCTTGGTTGCGTAGCGCCGATCATTCGGTGAACTTCCATGACCGAACCGTTCACAYCCGTGATCGGAACGGAGTGTTAGTCCCATGTACGGTCGCGACCCCTCACACTTTGATTGCTTGTCACGTGGTTTCCGTTGCGAGAATTCGCGACGCCATTGCTCGGAATGRCGTCGAGGAGATGGGCCTTGTATTCTTGCATGCTCTCCCCTCRCCGGACGGACCAGCCGCGTCACCGCCGGACCCACACATTTCTCACCTCTTGGACGAGTATAGAGTCGTCTTCGAGGCCCCCACCGGAACGGTTCCGGATCGGCCCATATGTCACGGGATCACTCTCGAGGCTGGCGCCGTCCCTCCCCGTGGATGTATCTACCGCATGAGCGAAGAGGAACTCGAGGTGCTTCGCGCACAACTCGATGATCTTCTCGACAAGGGCTGGATTCGCCCTAGTTGCTCGCCATACGGTGCACCTGTTCTCTTTGTCCGGAAGAAGAACAAAGATCTACGGTTATGCATYGACTATCGRAAACTTAACGCACAAACCGTAAAGAACGCCGGCCCTCTCCCTCGGATTGATGATCTCCTTGAGCGGTTAGGCGGCGCGAHGTACTTYTSGAAGTTGGATCTGAAGTCAGGTTACCACCAGATTGAAATCCAGCCTCAAGACCGGTACAAGACCGCGTTCAAGACGCGGTATGGGCATTTTGAGTGGGTTGTCATGCCATTTGGCCTCACCAATGCCCCCGCTACGTTTCAAGCAGCAATGACGACTGAGTTTCGCGACTTGCTCGATCGCATCGTCCTCATTTACCTTGATGATATTTTGGTCTACAGCAGGACGTTGGACGAGCATATCATACACCTTCACGTTGTCTTGAATCGTTTGCGACTAGCCAAGTACAAAGCGAATCTCGACAAATGTGAATTCGCCAAGCAAGAGCTTGAGTACTTGGGCCATTTTGTCACGCCGAAAGGCTTTCGTCCCTTAGCGGACAAGATCCAAGCCATCGTGGATTGGCCGGAACCCCGTTGCACGACGGATGTACGCTCTTTCATGGGATTGGCTGGATATTATCACCGTTTCGTCGAGTCATACTCGAAAGTGGCCGCTCCTTTGTCGAGACTTCAGTCCCCGAAGGTGGCCTTCGAGTTCAACGACACAGCCCGTGGCGCGTTCACTACGTTGAAGGCAGCGATGCAAGCYGCACCTGCCCTCCGTATATATGACCCCACCCTACCCACCCAATTGACTACGGACGCTTTGGGATACGGTATTGGTGCGGTGTTGGAACAGTGTCACGAGGACGGTTGGCATCCGGTTGAGTACTTCTCCCAGAAGGTGCCTCTCGTCAACACTCTTGATGACGCTAGGAAGAAAGAGCTACTCGCATTCGTCACCGTCCTCA